ACCTCGTGTAAAAATTATATTTATTTAAATATATCTAAGAAGAGAAATTTTTATATTATTAATCAATATTTTAAACAGAATATCCCCTTTAAAAAGTGGCGCGTTATAGGGCAAAAAAGGGGGGCAATTCCCCACCCCAAACTAATCTTTTACGAGAAAATAATTCCCACCGACGTCAACCTAATTCAAATTTTCCTTGGCTCCACCAAACTATAAAGTGCCTTAAACTTTATTGTTAGCGCCTTAACTATATTCATAAATGAAAGATGAATATATAATTAATTAATTAAAACAAATTATCCTGTTTAAAGTATCTCAGAATCTATGATAATTAAATATAATTTTATATGTTAATTATGTATTAAGAGGAGGTATTAATCTACGATTTCTGTATGATGGTAAGTAATGGTTTATCATCTCTAAAGTATTTTCAAAATTTATCCATGAGTAGGGTCAGTTTACCTGCAGATTTAACAAATTTCTATAAAAATAAAGGCGTTATTACAGATTTAAATAAGAAAAAATTCCATCCTTGCTTAAAAAACACCCCCCGAACTTAAATTTTAACAAGACATTTACGAGAAAAAAAATATAATAATAATAATAATATAATTCCGTGTTTTTTTAATTGTTTACACCTCGAAAATAATGAAAAATAATTATCAAAAATTTTATTAATTATAAGTATGAATGGAATGGAATTGTTAATTTGCATAAATTACAATTCTGGCGTTATCAATTATATTTTCGGATGACACGTCTGTAAGTTTGACCGTACACAACGGAATAATTACGGCGAAACCTGTATAAACCGGACACGACTTCATCAGGTTTAACACAGGTTTAACCTAAGAATTCTTCCCGTTTAGCAAGGATCCGTTTTGGACGGATTTTACTGCATATATTTCAAGTAAATAATATATTTAAAGCGTATAATTTTTCAGGTTTAATTTTAATTTATGCTGATTTAATTTAGGAAGTAACATTTACGAGCTTCTATTGTTTTTTTTTTCTTATGTAATTTTTTTTTTGAAGGAGAAAAGCATTATTTGTTTAACAGTTACTTCATCCATTAAAAGAAGTAGGGAAAATAATAATAAAAAAAATGATTAATGACTTCCATTTTCTTGTAGGTGTTAGACAAGAATTACTTCTTCACGAAGCTGCAATCAAAAATGATTTGGCTGTGGCCAAAAAACTCATCGAAGCCAAAGTAGATGTTAACGCAAAGGGTCACGTAAGTGTTGTAAATCTAAATTTGAAGACAATTTTTAAAGAATTTTCAAAGAAAAATTATCATTTTTGTAGATGGATCGCACACCCGTGCATTGGGCGGCATCTAAAGGACATTTAGATATATTAGCAACGTTAATACACGCAAAATGCGACATAGAAGCAACGGATAAGGTAGATTTTTGTCATTAGTTTAACATTAAAAATTTGATTTATTATACTCCAACTTCGAAATTTTATTGCTGTAAATTTATAGTATCGTTACTTCTGTAGAATAAATAGATAAAAATTGGATTTTTGGATACACTCGTAAATTTTCTCGGTCATACGAAGTAGCAGTAACACATAAAAAAAAAAAAAAAAAATTGACTTTAGTTGTTCGTAGCAGATGAACGTTTTCCCAATATTAAACACAGTTATTTTTATAAATTCTTTTTTTATTTCTTTCTTTTAAACCAAACTCTTTTGTTGTTTGTATCGTAATTCTTCAAAATGTTTCATATTTCAGTATGGAATGCGCCCTGTACTAATGGCCGCGTGGTTCGGTCATAAAGGAGCAGTGCAATTGTTAGTCGAAAATGGAGCAAATTGTAGGGCAGTTAACAGGGTAAAACTGCGTTAAATATTAATTTATTNACGTAAATTTCGTAACTAGAATGGACAGACTTCTTTGCATATAGCCGCCATGAATAATTGTATGGAAATTACAGAGAAATTAATTCAAGCCGGTGCAGATGTAAGCATTAAAGACAAGGTAAGATACTATTTTTAAAAAATATCTATTAAAATTGTACAAATTTAGATATATAAAACACATTGTTTTATTTATAGATGGGTCGTACGGCTGTTCATTTAGCTGCTCTTAAAGGACATCACCTAATCCTAGTCAGATTGTTAAGAGTGGGTGTAGAAATCGACGATAGAGACGAGGTAAGAACTTACTGTAATATAATAAAATGTGATTTTTAAAGATTTTACCCACTTTAAAAATGGCAAACGTTGCTTGAGTTGATTGCCTTGGCGAGGAAAGTAAAAAGAAAAAAAAAAATAATCATGAAATGCAGTTTTTGTCTTCAATCTTGTTTTGTGATTGATGGAAGAGGAATTCGATCGCTTACAACATTATCCTTATTTCCGATCATTTATTTTACTTGTTTCTCATTTTCTTCCAATCAACTAAACTAAAATTAATCATTTTTAAAGTGTTTTAACTTATATAGAAAATCTAATTGGAAAATATCCTGACAGGAAGCTAAGTTAATTCAAATCTAATCTATCGTTCCACGTCGAATTCTGTTACGTCTTCACTAAACGTTCGGGAACTTGGCGAGAAAATTAGAAGAAACTATACTATAATTAAAGCTGGGTTTTAAACTTGCAGAAGAGGCCCTTTTGCATCCACCTAATTTTAATAAATTTAAAAGCGCGAGGTCCCAGACTAGGTGGTTGAGCCACCTGAACTCAGTAGCGCCCATATGCAGTATGTATAATATACGATTACGCTACTATTACTTATCTTATATTTAAGGCTTTATATTCTCGGTTGCTAGGCCCTAAGCTGTAAATGCTGTCCTGACAAAAAGTACAAGAAAATTTATGTTCCAGGCAAGGGTTAATTTATGAGGCATTTTTCGTAAATATCAAAAACCGCATCACACGATAATTCATATCGTTTAAGGTCCACGATTCTAACTAGTAATGGATTCCGAAGTTTTCATAGGGGTCTCGTCCCTCCATTGTGAGCGTGAAAAAAGACACTTAATGCCTCTACAGCTAATAGAGTGGGGGGAATGCCGTGTCCATACACGTTTGTCCTGAGGAAAACGAGAGCTGAGGTAAATGTATCCTGAAAAAAATACGGAAGTTCGATTTCGATTCATCAACCATACATAATAGCGCAAATATAAATATTCATTTCATAGTATTATGAAT